GCCCGCCCGCGTGTCCGCGCCGGCCCCGCGCCCCGGGGGCAGGAGGGTGCGGGGCACCCCCGGGCTCTGCTGGGTCCCATCCCCCTGCGCGCACCGCCCCGCACGTGCGGGGGCACACGGGCACCCTCCACCCGCCGGCCCTGGGCACTCAGCCCCACCCCGAGCCCCTGCCCGCAGCCCTGGAGGGCTGAGGCTGGCCCAGGCCAGCGACTGCAGCATGCCAGCCTGCAGCACCCCCAGGCAGGGCCTGCCCGCACCCTGGCTCCAGGGCTGCTGCTGCCCCCCAGCCCAGGGGAACACGCGCCGGTGGCAGCGCCAGGAAGTCCTGGCTGCGGGTGATCCCAGAGGGCCTCACACGGAGTCAGCCCCAGGCCCGCCCTGCCCAGCTGCGACATCACCCCAGAGTCTGATGATGTCACACACGATGTCACGCAGGGGGCTACGCCACTGGTTCCGTGGCCAAGACGTGGTAACAAAGGGGGCTCCTGGCAGGCGCCTTGGAAGCTCGCATGCGCCGAGGGCCCAGCAGCTCTCTGCCACAGGCAGGGCCGGGCTGGGGTCCAGGGGTCGCGGGGAGCAGGGTGAGATGCATGGGGGAGGACGGTACCTGAAAGAAGCCAGGGGGCATGGGTCCTCCTGGCATCCCGTCGTTGGGGGGCATGTTCCCCATCACAGGGCTGGGAGCAGCGGCAGCACTCTGCAGACAAAGGGCAAAGCTCAGAGGTCAGCTCCAGCGGTCCCTCAGAGCCCCGTGGCTCAGCAAGGAGCATTGGGGCATCCCCCCGCCCGACAGCCCTGCGCAGGGTGGCTCCCTGGGAGAGGGAATCTGGTGGTCCACGGTGAGAAGCCGGGTGCAAGTTGCAGGCCCCTGGTGCACGTGCATGCACACATGTGCCCCACACAGCCTTGCCCCCCGTGCAGGGGTCCTTGGGGACAGAGGGCTCCAGAAAGCCGGGCACCCAGCCCCTCCCTGGGGGGGTTGTTCTCAAACTGCTGGGACGTGAATCAGGTCAGTGAATTACCCGCAAGCAAACGCGCCGGCGGAGGGGGCTGGAGCCGCCGGCTGGGCACGGTGCCGGGATGGGCACCGAGGTGGCACAGGCTCCTGGCCAGCACCTCCTGCCAAGCAGACCCTTGCACACATGGCTCAGCCCACCAGGCCCCTGCCTGGATACCAACCCCTGCACCCAGGTCCTGCTGCCCCCCCGGCTGGCCAGCTCAGGCTGGCTCTGCCTGGCACCTGCTTATTGCCCCTCCAGCCAGTGTCTACCGTCCCTGTGCCTGGCCCTGCACCTTGCTGGGTCACCCCTTCATGCCACCCCCACAGCCCCCGGCTGCCCGCAGTTCCAGGCCTGGCTCCAGAGTGCTCCTGGAAACAGAGGAGCCCAGTGCCCCCGGCAGACTTGCCCCTGCCCCCTTCCCTGCCTCTGCCTGGCCTGGGCAAAACTTCCAGCTGACCCCAGCCATCTGTCTGACAGCTGCAACCAGCCCCTGGCCCAGAGACCCCCCTGGGGAGCAGGAAGGGGCCACATCAGCCCACTCTGCACTCACCCTCCCCAGCTGGGGCAGGCGGCCTCGGCGCTGGAGGCTGCCCCGAGAGCAATGCGTCCCCCAAGCCCCTTGCTGCAGAGACTGGCCAGCCCCGCGCTCTGCAGCATGAGTCACTGATGCACCAAGCCTGCCTGGCGGGCTGGCAGCGGGGGAGGCAGTGCTGCCTGGCCCAGCCAGGGAGGAGCTGCCTTGCTGGCAGGGGCAGGAGAGGGGAGCCAGGACTGGCTCTGGGCAGGTGGGAGGGGAAGCAGCCCCGTCCTGACGCTGGAGGCTGAGGCCTGCCTGGGGCAGGTGGTGCAGGTCCAGCTGCCCTGTGCTGCGGCTGCCCCTTCTCCCCATGCAGGGCTGCACCTGCTCTACAGCTGCCCCGAGGGCCAGGGCCCCCTGCACCGTGCCCCCTGCACAGACCTGCCGCGGGCAAGCAGCTGAAGAGCCCCCAAGCCCTGCCCCCCCAGCAAAAGGAGGTCTCAACCCTGCCCAGCACCTGGGCCCTGCCGGGGGCATCTGGCAGCCCAGCACTTAGAGCTCTGCGAGGGAGCTGCCTGCCCAGGAGGGGCCAGCCAGGCCGGCCCCAGGAAGGTGCCTGCGGGGCAGGCAGGGGGCTGTGAGGGCAGGGGCTGCAGGAGGCGCCTGCATGGGTGTGCTGTGTGCAGGGGGGTGCAGCATGCAGCCCCACTGCCCCCCGGCCCCGTGTCTGTCCGTGGGGAGCCATTAAATGGGAAGGAATGCGCTGGCTTTCCGGCCCGGCCCCTTGCGCTGTCTCTGCCACAAATGGTTTCAATTTGCCAGGGAGGGCGGGGAGGGGAGGGTGTCTCTGCACCTCGCTGGCGGTGTGGGGAAGGAGGCTGGAGGGGCCCCAAGACCCCTCTGTGGGACCCGCCAAGCAGCGGGGCAGCAGGAAGAGCCCCACTTCCACTGCGACCCATGGCCTTGCACTGGCACCGTCCCCCCCAGTGCCAGCCCCCGCTGGGACCCACAGCCCCCGCCTTGATGTGCTGGCAGGACCTGGGGGTATTGGGAAGAGACCCCAGGCCATGTGCAAGCAGACCCTCCCTGGGGCAGCTGGGGCGAATGGCACGGCCGTGCAGCCGGCAGCCGCAGAGCAGGTGGCTTGCGGGTATTTTATTCCTCACCATGATTGCAGCCTGCCCGAGGGGACACGTGGATGGACAGACAGCTGGAAGGAGCCACAGGGCCCTGCATCATGCACAGGGCAGCCCCAGCATCACGGCAGCCCCGGGGGACCGGCAAATGCAGCACAGGGCACTGGGCACTGCAGGCCTGACCAGCCCGAGGCAGACGGACAGACGGAGCAGGGGCCTGGGGCACAGCTAGACAGAGAAGCATGCAGGGACAGTCCTGCAGGGCCGGGCTTGGGCTGGACATGGCAGCAAGTTGCCAGCATCAGCCCCAGCTTGTAGCAGATGCCCATCGGGCCCACGGGCACGGCAACCTCTGGGCTCAGAGAACGGTGGAGCAGCAATTCAGGGCTAAGGGAGATGTGGATGTTGGGGGCAGCCAGGGGCATGGCCCCCACTCTCTGGGCAGCCACAGGGTGACCGGGGGACATGCCCAGGCTCACCAGGCAGCACTGATCAGTAGTGCCTGCCCCATCCAGCCCCCTGGCCTGCCCTCCCCGGCCCCAGGAGAGAGCGAGGACACCATTCCCTGAAGGGTGTCGTGACATCACCCCAGGAGTGACATCAAGCCATCCTGGTGACATCACCACCGAGGCATGAGGCAGGCGCCCACCGGGGCCTGTCACGCTCCGCTCCGGCCTCCCCGGGCAGCCGATTATTTTTATCCTGCCTCCGCGAGCATCTCCCTGATGTCTGCAGCAACAGCACAGCAGCCTCCACCGCGCGGGGCCCAGGCTGACCCCAGCCTGGCTGTCACCCAGCGCACGACCCCCCTGGGCTGCAGGCTGTGCCCGAGTTGGTGCCCGCAGCCCCGCAGCCCCGCAGCCCCTCTGTGCCTGGCAGCCCCTCGGAGCCAGTGACTCATTTAAATGCAATATGACTAATCCCTTCCATGACAGATGTCACCAATTTAGCACGCGGGCGCCCCACGCTGCCCAGCCTCACCGGGGAACACTGCCGGCAGTGACGGCACAGGGAGGGACAGGGCAGCCCCCCAAGGCAACGCCAGCCCCACTGGGCCCCAGCCCTGCACCTTGCAGCCCTGGCACGCACGGGTGCAGACGGACAGCTCGGGCCCTGCTCCCAGACCAGCGGCTGAGGCTGATGGGGGGCTGCCGCAGCCCCTTTGCTGCTGGTGCTGCCTCTGAGCGTCCTGGCACTGGCCAAGGTGGCACCAAGGCCAGAGCTGGGGGGCAGCCCCGGGGCCGCAGCAGGGACTCGCCCAGGCTGCACCAGGGCAGCAGAGCAGAGCCCAGGGCTTGCAGCTCCCTGCAAGATATCTCCCGTGGGCTCCAGCAGCTGAGAGCCACGGCTCTGGGGAGCCACCAGCAGCATCCCCAGCTGCCTTGCCGCACCAGGGTGCCCAACCTTGCTCTCCAGCATTGCATCTCCCGGCCCTGAGGCCTGGCCCAAAGCATTGCTCCCCGCTGCTCAGGGACCCCCTGCGAGTGCATGCCCGTGAGTTGCTCTGGAATAGGGTGGGGGCTGCGAGCACCAGGCCAGGGGCAGGGGCAGGCCTTGGTCCCAGGTCAGAGCTCCCCATACAGGTACCACTGGCCCCGCGTGGTCACGGCCAGCCGGCCCTGCCCAGAGCCCCCCAGCGTGAGGCCTGTGGGGCCCGGACGCGGCGAGCGCTAGGGCCCTGCAGGCGGCTGGGGGCTGCGGCG